CAATCTAGTATTATGTTTAAATTCATAAAGTCTACGTGCCATAGAGTTCATTCGAACAATTAAGGGAGGCTACATCACGGCGGTGGGAAATGGCTGAAACCAGATCAGGATCAATAATATTGCAGATTCTTTATTGGATTTTATCAAGTATCTCTAAACATATAGCAGGAGCACCGGTCCAGATGTAACAGCAATATTCAAAGCATGGACGAATGGTAGACTTATAAATATGCTAGATAGATTCTGAAGATAAAAATTGTCTAGCACGATACAATAACCCGACTTCCTTAGCAGCAACGAATTCAATAAAGTCTTTCCACTTCATGTCAGCTTAAAATGTTAGATCGAGAAGATACAACTCGGTTAACATCAGCCATGCTGATGGGAGGCAGGTAGGCAAGCAGGGGTCCTTCATGTGATTAATAGAGAGAAGTTTTATTTTGGAGGCGTTAAAATTAACGAGCCACTGCTTGCCCCAGTTAGCAACAAACTGTAGGTCATGTTTTTAGATCACCTGCCAATTTCACTTTATCAAACTAAAATTCGGCAAAAAGGGAAACCAATATTTATTACCAAGATTATAAATTCTAAAAGGGCTGAGTTTGCCCATTTACAAGAACTAAGCATGTATTTTATAGATATATCTATTTTCTAAATAATTTTAACGTCAGATCTTTAGATATTATGATTTTAAATATTTTATCTGCTGTGTTTATTGTAGTTTTCATTTGTATTAAATTCCTTTAGTAAAAAAAAACATTTGCAAAGAATATATAGCTATGATCAAACTATTCTGTAATTAGCAAAGGACTTGATTCCAGAAAAACGAAAATCCATGATCCTGATTTTTAAGGACATTCAGATTAAGTACCGAATTTATGTAAAACCAGGTCGGTACAAAGTGTAGAACTCACTACTTAATCAGCAAAATCAAAAAGCCTTGCGAGTGGAAAACCTTTGATGTCTATACCTGCAAGAAATCACAAGTAATCGTAAACGAGGTTTTGAGCGGAACTGGATTTGATCAAACTGCTGATCATGATAGATAATATGCTCTCTCTCTCTTTCTCTCTCTCTCTCTCTCTCTCTCTCTCTCTCTCTCTCATAAACTGTAACTAAGGTCCGTTCAGAATAGTTGCAGTCTAAACCACAGATAAGCTTGGCAGAATAAACCACTTTGGAGTTTGAACAAACGCAAATGTATTTGAGCAGGTGTCTAGAAGAGGCATTGGCTTTTTCACTCTAGCAGAGAGGTGTGCTCGAGAAAGGAAAGTAGCTGGACATATATTATATAAATTACATCCTAACTGTCAAAACACGAGTAAAAATAACAGCACCAGAGACAAAACACCTTGAAAATGACAACAGAAGTGCCCGAATAAACTTGGGACAGTATAAATTATGAAATATTTTATGTACTTCCTTACTCCTACAAAATGGAAAAACGTAAGGATGTTAGAAAAACTCAATAAAAACTTAATTAAATCTTCACCTTATATAATGAAAGATGTTTGAAAGAAAGGTTGTTGCCCAAATATATATATATATATATATATATATATATATATATATATATATATATATATGTTCGCATGTATGTATAATACGTTCAAAGCAAGCAGGCTTTTGCAGTTAGAAATGCTTAATATTAAGCGATAGAACATTAACAGCAACAAATAAAATTAAATTAAACTTAACTTTCCGACTAGGAGTTTCACGAATATGGCAGTGAAGTTTGACAGTAAAATTGTATTTACAGAAAGCATATATTTCTAAAAAGATGTTACTTAATTTTCTCTAAAGCAACGTTCATGTTTACATCAACTTATTTTAAATTGTGTTATCTTTTATTTTTTATTGTATAAAATAATCATATATATATATATATATATATATATATATATATATATGACAATTTAGAAAATTCTTTTACTTTGACATGTTTCGTCGATATTTTGGCGACTTTGAAAAAATTATTTCGCAAGAAACAAATTTACATTTCCAAGACGAAATGTGTTTCATGTTAAGCGTGTGGATGTTTGATTTTTACTTTAACTGTATCAATATAGAAATGAGGTCTTAAATACTTTCAAGTTAGTAGAAATAAAGCATATAGCTGCTCAATGTAAAGTAGAATTTGCTTTTGTGAAATAAAATTACTTTCTGATCGGATCATCGGCTAATCTTGACATACACCAAACATATCGTCATACAGTCAGGATTTTGTTCATTTCACATCGCCCACCAATTACAGTCGGCTTTTCGTTCTCTGCTCATCGCCGTTGAAAGGGAAGTTTTCAGACCGTGGATGAGATTAAAGAGAATGTCACAAGGCAGCTGATGGCGCTCCCCAAAGCTGATTTTCAAAAATTGTAGTTCACGTTGAATTAAATGTGGGAAGTCCCAAAGGGGTAGTAGTACCCGTGCCCTAGGTAGGTCATTTGTTCGGTTATATTAAATATCTAGGTATATACGTGTTTGTGGAGGTCGGGGACTGTTTAGATGCTGTAGATATGGACCATATCTTGACTTTAATAAAGGAAGCGAGAAACAGACAATGAAACGGATAAATGCAATTTCAATAAATTACCCCTGTAGGAAACATGAAATATTTCTTTTTTTCCCGGTTTCTGGATTTGACGGCAGTCAAGATTCATTGCAATATTAGAAATAAAATCATAATTTACATCGGCGAAAAACGAGAAAAAATGTAATATTAACTGACGAAGTCATGTAAAGAACCAGAGAAGAAATCAAATTAAACAAAATCATAGCATAATTTCAACAAAAGACGCCAGTAAAGTCCTAGATCTGCGAGTAATGTAACTGATATTGGTGCGAATTGAGTTCAATCTCTAGCTTAGTCTGTAGCGTTGATTTTCGCGTAAATTCCCTTTTGGAAAGGTATATACACACTTATTAACACACTAATAAGAGAAAGTATAAAAGCGATTTCAGCTACGTACCCCCTTCTTATCGTAGGCGTCATCTAACTGGAGTGATCCGTGGGAGGAAAATGAATGGAGAAGAAGCAATAAAAAAATCTTTATCGAGTGCAACGACGCACTGAGATCTTTAACGTCTGCTGTATATGAAATTTAGCCCAGTTATAAAAAAAAATTACTATTAAACTCCATCAGGCTTCAACGCAATCTTCGAAGATTGCACTAAAACATGAAACAGATTGTCACCGATCGATGTTGACCTCCACATTTATATTTATAGCATAACTTAAGATTATATATATATATATATATATATATATATATATATATATATATATATATTGTCATCCACAGACAGTTTCGCTGTTTCACAGTTCATCAGTGTGGCTAGAAATCCGATTGCTTCTCTGGTTATCCCCTTTCATTGTAAATGCTTGCTTACAAAACATCGTAAACACACCGGTTAATTTTAACATAATTATAACAGAACGTGTTCACGCATGTTTATAAAAATCACCACCACAACGATTAAAATTATAGATACAGGGTATATAAAAAATACTTGTACAAACTTTGAGGAATTCGCGCCAAAACAAGGACATATAAATATATGCCTGCAAATCATTCGTTTTTGAGTTAAGTTTAAAGAAAGTTTGCGGTAGATGGCGCTGTGTTACCATATAGACTATGTTACATTTGTCAGTCGTTTACATTGTTGGCTCGTCTCTCTTCAATGTTTAACGTGTGCAGTAGGGAATTAACTGAGAAGTTTTCCGTTTAACAATGGTAGGATATTCATACTCTGAACAGGCAGATATGATTTTTACATACGGCCGAGTGAATGCTCATGGACGCGAGGCTGCACGGCTGTATTAGATTATATTTTCAGACCGAAGGTAGCTGAATCATCCAACCTTCGCTGTTTTGTTTATCGTCGCGTTGCTGTGACAAGATCCGTGGCACCGCAAACTATCTGCTCGTACGCCTAACCACGAAGAACACATTCTCCAGGTATCAGCACACATTAAGTCGCCATAGCATATCGTACACCTCATATTACCGCATTGGATGGTACTTCAAGTGCAGCTCCTATATCCATTTGCAATGTGTGCAGGGTCTTTCGCCCTCTGATCACTCACCATGGGAGAACTTTTGCTGATGGTTTATTGCACAAACTGCCGATCCGAGATGGAATAACAAATTTACACAACCAACATTTGTGGTCGGATCGGAATCCGCATGATATAATATATATACAGTCTAGACACTAGCATCAGTTTACGATTAATGTGCTGGCTGAAATTGTAGGTGACTGTCTGGTAGGTCCATATGTTTTCCCAGCTGGTCTTATCGGAGCTGTTTAAAGCGACTTTGTCGAACACACTTCCAGACCTGCTAGAGGATGTACCCCTGCTAATACGAAGACGCATATGGTTTATGCATATGGACTCCAGCGCATTGTTCGCGATGCACTGGCTGACATGAAAAGATGGATAGGTAGAGGATGACCGGCTCCATGGCCCGCACTTTCCTCCGATCTCAATCATTTAGATTTTTATCTGTGGGGCCAGCGAAAACAATTGGTTTATGCAGCAGACATTAATAATGCAGAGACACTACACCAACGTGTCATGGAGGTCTGCGAAACCATTCGACACCGAGAAGGAGTATTTGAATGGGTCCGCCAGTTAATGATCTGTCGGGTGCATGCGTATGTAGAAGCAAGCGGACATTTTTAACATTTGTTACGAGTTGCTGTGTTGAGCTACAACGATGCAATTTTGAACCTCTGTTTATATGGATAATTTCCCTTATTTTGGTGAGAGGAACCCGCTCACAAAGTTTGTAAAAGTATTTGTATTCTTTGTATTGGTCAACTACTGTATTAGACGTTCTTGTATAGAGGGCGCACCTATATTTGGTAAAATAAAATTGAGGGTAATTTTCTAGAGCCAACTCCAGGCTGGAATGGAGTAGTTGCGTCTCAATTTCTGCTTTTACTGAAACCTTATAGTTTAATCTCTTTATTTCTTCTTTTTCTTTTATCATATTTAGGTTATTTCTATCTTTTTTACGACAATCAAATCAAAGTGTGTCTTTTTGTACAATCACCTCAAATACGGAGGTCACCACGATCGTATCATTCAGGCCTAACTTACCTTATATCTACTGAAAGAAGGTCTGGCATGCACTCTAGAAATAACCTTAACTTGATTACCAGTAAGTTTCTTTAGTTTTTGCCATGTACGGTATTTTAAGCGTTTTTGGCAAACAAGGATCTCTTAGAGTGGACTATGAAATTACAGCTGTTTTTTTTTTTTTTTGCTACTTCTTAGATCGTTATGGGAGTACTCAAATGCTCATTCTACATTTTCTAACTTTACCCATTGTGACAGATCTCAGATGAGATACTTTAGAAGGATATCGGGCGATGGAACCGGAAGCGGGTAGAAACGGATTCATGTCTTTCCTGAATGCATTCGTGAGAATTGTGCCTGAGTTCGAACTCAGTTCCCCTGTTTCGTTCCGTTTTCTAAAATGTAATGCACTTGCACCACCATGTTTACGAGATAAATACAAAGAAGTTAAGGAACACATTTCTATACTAAGACAAACTGAAAAGACAGGAATATAGCATAAAATACAGTATTCGTTTTATCCACGGGTTCCTTTTCGGTGTTTACGATTAACCGCACTCAAACCCAGAAATAAACAATTCATAAGTTGTTAATGTTTTAAGTTATAAATCCCCTTCCGAATCCACTGAATGCATCGATTTAATAGAGGAATTGTATAAATCTACAAAATCTTACATGTTTTAGATTATCTCTTCCTAGACTATGCCTACGCATTTACAAACACAGAGATGAAGAAATGGGCCCTGGCCATTTAAGCATCTCAAATGAATCTACCAATAGAAGATAACGATCCTGCTTTCCCTCATAATGAAGGGAGATATGGTGAATGATCTTGAAAAAGAAAATCAATATCTTTTACCAAGTGTTACTATAGGACTCAATATAAAACTTTGCAAAACAGAAATTATGATTTGAAATTGGAATGAAAGCAGTGATGACACATGCCCTGAATACATCAGGATGTGGAATTAGTAAATACTAAACACTTCAAATACATCGGCGTATGGATCAGTTATAACAAATTTAGTATAGGAGAAAAGGAAATTGACCATAGAATATGCTGTGGTAGAGGCAGTTTCGTCCAAAACCAAAACACCAACCATAAATATCGGGTCATATTCTTAAATAGTTTCGTCAGATCGAAATTTTCATATGAATGCCATGCAAATCGCCAAACGCGGTTAGAAATAACTAAATTGTTAGCTGCATACAATCGCCTACTAAGATTGGTGGTGAAAAAAGGCTTTGAGCAAGTAAAGCCTAAGGGTCTTGGCAGAGTCCATTCTTCTTTGAGCACTGTGGACTGACGCTACAGAATCACAAAGAACTGTACCAAATAACAGAAACCACATTACTTGAGGACTACCAACAACAGCAACAATTAATATGTATAGCAAATGTAACTCAAAGAGAAAATAATGGCATAACGAAGAGGTTGACATTCCACACCACTTCAAATAAATGGTTAAGAAGGAAAGCCTGTTTAACAAGCGATAACATGTACTGGAATTAAGAAACCGATTTTCCTAAATAAAGTGTTTTAAGAGAAAGATTTTTAAAATTTCATCTAAAAGCAGCATTGGCTGATCAATCAATGAATGCGAAATGTTTCTTTGGAGGAATATTATCATTACCATTATTATTAAGGTATTCCTTGAAATAAAAGGTGAAAATTCTCTACTTAATAAATAAATAAATAATCTATTCTAAAGTTGCCATGATCTACGTTAGAAAAAGTCTTATAACTGTCAAATGAATTTTAATACATTATATTGTTATAATCAATCTATTTTATTAGTATGGTTTCATTCCAGCAAGGAAATACCAAGTTAAACCACACTCATTTCCTTGATTCTCACCTGCATACTCGGCCTATATAACCCACAGGAATCACTTCTTCCGGCCGTATCAGAGTGATCCGTTTGATTGCAACAAATTGCTCGTAACGAGTGCAAGCGTGTGCTTAAAGAAGCGAACTTACTGTTTGCTGATAGAATGAAACAACGTATAGCATCTAGCAAGTTCGGTTCTAGAGATTATTGGCGTCTCTGCAAGAGTTTACTGAACAACAGCAAATCCTCAATCCCTCCTCTATCCAATCAATTTGAAATGCTGGCATCTACAGTAGATAAGGTTGAATGCTTTGCTCGGAAATTCTCTTCCAACTCAACACATGACTCAATTGGAGTACCCACACCTGATTTCCCTCTTAGAACAGAGGCTCTACTGAGTGATATGTGCATAACTCCATCACCGGTCTCAGACATTATTTCTTAATTTAGATTCTCATAAGGTAAGTGGATGTGACGGGATCCCAGCTGTCATCCTAAAGAAATGTGCTCCTGAACAGGCACCAGTTCTCTCCTAACTTTACAACTATTGCCTCACTACTTCCTGCTTTCCGGAGTGTTGGAAGTCCTCCTTTGTAGTTCCTGGTTTTAAGAACTCCGAAGAACCATCTGATTCCTCTAACTATCGCCCAATTAGTCTCCTATCGCTTTTCGGCAAATCAATGATTAAGCATCTTACATCCGACGACCTACTCTTTGACAAACAATATGGCTTCCATTTTGCTCGGTCAACCGCTGACTATCACACGGCCATCACTGAATGTGTATCTGAAGCTCTCTTGATAATAACGTCGAAGCTCAAAAGCTATCACTCTAGATATCTCGAAAGCAGATTGTTTGATTTAACCCAATCACATTCCTGTTAAATTGTGAAATGAAAGTCGTTTTGAACGGGTTCGCTTCCAGATTCTTTCACACGAACGCCGGTGTCTTCCCCCCCCCCCGCCAAAAAATCTCTATCCTTGGTCCTACGCTGTTTCTGATCTTCATCAATGATCTTCCTGATGTCATCAGTTCTCAAGTAGGCATTTATGCAAATGACGCTACTATTTACTTCTGTCTCAATAGCAAATCCGTCAGAGATGTCAAAATTAATCTGGTCGCTAATCTTGAAGAGAACCTCCAATCAGTGGTTAACGGCTTGTAAATTTTAATATCTTCAAAACAAAACTGATCTCTTTTAAACACCATAGAGAAACTTTCCCACCTACGATCGTCATGGCTGATGCTAGACGCCTGGAGAGCGACACCCTGCGCCTCGTTAGCTTCACATTTTTAACTGACTTGAAGTGAAACGACTACATTCAATCAATAGCTACATCTACTGGAAGGAAAGTTCGGTCACTGTGTCATGCCAGAAGGTTTTTCTTGTCAGAATTCATCTTGCACATTTACAAATCTTCTATTCGTCCGTGCATTGAATACTGTTGCCATATCTAGTCTTGTCCTCCTGCTATTCATCTCGAGGTTCTTGACAAAATCCAAAGAAGGGCCTGAAATGTAATCGATCCTGAATTCAGACTCTTTCTCACAGAGGTGATGTGGCTTCTCTCTGTCTTTTCTACAAATATTATCATTGGCAAATGCTCTAACGAGATTCTTCCCTGGTGTCCAGACTATATGAATTAAAGCGTGTTACTAGATTGGCATCTAGATCCCCACCCATTTACTGATGAAATATTCAAATGCAGCCGTCACTTCTACCCCAACAGTTTCTTTTCTCACACTTCCCACCTGTGGAACTCCCTTCCGTTTACTTGCTTTCCTGAAAACTGCAGTCTTCAAAAATTTAAATTCAACGTAATCGCCATCTTACGTCTTCTTGAACTCCCTTAATTATTTCCTCAATATCCCCTATACCCAATCTTTTCTCTGGCTTTCACTCTATGTGACCCCATGAATAGCGACATTCCCGCCTTGCTTGGGGTGAAATGATTAAATAAAAGTACTTTTTAATTTTACCTTGTACCTATTTTATAAATTTAATTTTATCATTGATCTGTATGAAATGAAAATATATACTATATATATAGTGTATACGATGGAGTTTTGGAACATGTCTTACGCGTATAAAAGGGGACTATTGTAAAATCGACCATGTTACTGACAAGCCTGTACATTTCGCCAAGTCTGTGCGAAATAGTCTGAACGGACAGGTGTATTACTGATCGAAGATGTGAACAAATAGAGCTTCGCTTTTCAAAAAGCCTGCCAGCTAGTAATAGGTGTCTTGTAATATTAATACGAAACAGAGAGGAAAAGTTTGACGAGAGAAGTAACGTTAGCAAATGACTTCTGTGTATTCATGCGTAAAAGAAGACGTCTGGAGCGATAAAAGACTGACGAGCATCAGCAAAGTTTTAGAGACAGGGAGTGAGTGCTCAAAGTTTTGTAAAGGGAGATGATGAGTTGTATCTTACTGTGCTTTAATATAAATCTCGCTTGGATGGGGAAGTATTCCTAACGATGCGTCTGGTTTCTCAGTAGCGTCTCTCTCAGAAACAGTATGACTTCTAGAAACGGGATTGGACCCCAAAGCTTTAGGATATCACTGCGATTGTGAATGAACTGTTTTACTTTTAATATTAATTATAATTGTAATGCCTGGCAGAATTACCTGGTCTTAACCGGAATTCTAAAAAAATCCTTCAATACTTATTGGCAAACAAATTAGGAATTAGTACGTTTTTTCCACACTAAGAATCTGCTGTAGAATTCCACTCGAAGCCTTTGGGCATATTTTTTTTTAAATGTAGGAAAAAGAGATGGTAGTTCCACGAATTGCTTTCCTCCAAGTTTCTAGAATCTCTAGAGATTATAGCAAAAAAAAAGACTTGGATGCCTGACTTTAAAAATTCAATTGAAACAGACGTTACTGTTTGATTGACACTCATATATATATATATATATATATATATATATATATATATATATATATATATATATATATGATGAGCGCGTGTGTGTGTGTCCCACGCCGTTTGGTACATGACTGAGATTCATGCATGTTGCAATCGTCAGGCACATATTGAAAACTGATTTTTATATAAATATATATTTATTATGAGCATCCATTTTGGGCTCGGTTATTTTGCATCGATCACTGATTTACTACCACCATCACTCTCTTTGCTAGAGGAACCAGTTTG